GGTGGCCATCACCTCCACTTGGGCACACCCCATGGGGGACACTGAGAAGGCGCACCCACTGAGATCCCTCCTTGGTCTGAGCTGCTCTTTCCTTTTTAAACTTGCTAAAGCTTGTGAGTAGAAATGATTGATACCTGTGAGTTTCTTTTTGGCTTCTCCTGAACCAAGGTCTGGTTCTTTCCAACCTGGGCCTATGACAAAATTGCTTTTTGATGACTATTTGTCATCCTCTATGTAAGTGACAAGCATTTATTAAGCCCTATTATCTATCTAGTTCTGGGCTGGGACTGAGAGAGATAGCAAAGAACACAGTTTCTCTTCTCCAAGATTTTATAAATTAAGCAGAGAAGCAAGAGATCTATATGGAAACCAGCCAGAGGATAATGTGGTGCCGTACGTAAACTGATGCCTTCAGCAAAGGGAAAGAAGCACGTGGACCAGGCTTGGTGGGAGGAGCCACTGGTAGTTATAGGAATTCTATTTGGCCTCGGCAGAGTCTGGGACCTGAGTGTGATGAGTAAGAATGGTCCTGATGCAAAGTCTCAGGTGCTCTGCTCGGTGCAGAAGGACCCATCCTCTCCTCTTTGGAGCAGGGGAATCAGGTTTGGCCAAGCAAAGCTGAGGATTTGAGGTGACTGGGGAGGATCAGAGGGGTGAAGAAAATGACTGATATTGACACTCTGTCTCACAGGGCTCCTGGGAGGAGGAATACAGGATGGAGAGGAAGTAGCTTGTGGTAAGTTTCTCTTGTTCTAGGCCTTGGAAGACACATGACTTCTAGGGGCATGGGGGCAGGGGGCTGTCCCTAGCACACTCCGTTCAACCCCTGGTGTGCTGAAGTTGGCTTGTATTGGCTCGAGAGGGTCGATTGACAAATTTTCATGAGTTTTGTGAATCAGTTGTTAAGCATATCTATTATTATAATAAACTAAACTGTATATGTCTCATATGCACTTACAATTAAAAAATTAAGTTAATAAAAATAAAAATAATCAATCATCAAAACTTATCACTTCCCTGGTATTTGCTACATTTATCTATGATCTATACTCTAGTGTTTACTTACATATATTGTAGATGTATGGTGGTCTTATGGGAGGAATTATATACCCCCTCCTATTTGTATTTGAAGTTCTAATCCCCAGTCTCAGAATGTGACTTTACATGAAAATAGGGTTGTTACAGAGGTAATTAGTTAAGATAAGGTCATTAGCGTGGGGTCCTCATCCAGTATGCCTGGAGCCTTCCTAAAAAGTAGCCATTTGGACACACACATGCACACAGGGAGAAGAACACCCTTTGAATAGGGGCACAGATCAGGGCAACGCTACATTAGCCAAGAAACACCAGAGATGGCCAGCAAGCCACCAGAAGCTAGGAGAGAGGCCTGGACAGATTTCCTCGGGCCTCAGAAGGAACCAGCCCTGCTGACACCTTGATCTGGGACTTCCAGCCCCCAGACTGTGAGAGAACAAGCCGCCACCCCACTTCCCCTTCGGTGGTATTTCTTTCTTTTTTTTTTTTTTTTATCCTCACCCGAGGATATTTTTCCATTTTTTGTACAGATAGAATGGGAGGGAGAGAGAGGAAGGGAGAGAGAGTGAGAAACATCGACGTGAAGGGACACATCGAGTGGCTGCCACCCACACGACCAACCAGGGCCGGGGACAAACTGCAACCGAAGTACATGCCCTTAGCGGGAACCGAACCCGGGTCTCTCCGGACCGCAGACCAACGCTCTAACCGCTGAGCCAAACCGGCCAGGGCTCGGTGGTATTTCTTGACGGCAGCCCCAAGAAAGAAAAGCAGGTGGAAACGCTATGTTGTGCTATGATGTCCTTCTCACATCCCCCTTTCCACTCCTCATGCCTTGACTTCCTGTTGAAAGCTTGAAATCAGCTACGGGGGCTGATCTGTAAACAAACATGACAAATCAGGGCTTGATTTACTGTTTAGGTGATTGTCTGGACAAGGGGTTGGCCAACTACCGCCTATGGACCTAATCGGGGCCCCTGCCTGTTTTTGTAAAAGTTTTATTGGAACACAACTGTGCTCATTAGTTAATGGATTGTCCATGGCTGCTTTCACACTACAATGGCCAAGTCGAGTCGTTGTGACAGAGACCGCAGGGCTGGAACAGCTGACAATATTTATTATCTAGCCCCTTAGAGTGCAAGTTTGCTGACCCTTAGCCTAGACTTAAGAAAGGAATGGAGACAATGTTAAAAATACAGATACAACTTATGTGTTCATTACATTGGGACATAGCACAAAAATGGAGAAGATATTCTACCAGGATTTGAAACTATTATCTGGTTCTGCAAAGACGTTGCTCTTATCATGGACAAATGAGTGAAGTTCTGACATAGGTATTTGTCAGTTTTTTTCTTCCTTGTCTATGTAAATAAAAATAGCAGCCAATTTTCAGATCAGAACTGTACTTGTTCATCAATGGCAACTATAGATTGGCTACAGATAGGAGAGTTTGTCAAAAATCAATGGAAGCATCTAGGAAAATCAATAGGCTCTGTGGAATTTATTTGCATGTGTTATATACAGGTAAAGTCTATGATAAACTTATGCACGTATACGTAAGCACACATTTCTCCTCTGGGGAGCCAGCTGCTGCACCGTGACCAGCACACTACTTCTCCCAACCTCCATCCGACACCCACCGCTCAGCAGAGGCAGTTCACGGGTCTGTTGCAATATGACCTTGGCCGTGGCTTAGCTTCACCACTGTGTCGATTTGGCTTGGCTAAGAGAGCACCTTTGGTGGGAGCAAGGGCAGCGGACAAGCCATGGCACCAAGGAACTGGCCTGGCTCAGTTTTGCTCTGGGAGAGAGAACACGCATTCACAGGCGGAGTGGGCCTGCTGATGGAGGGGCTCAAATGCAAGTTCAAGTTCCAGCTCGCTCCCATGGACAGCAGGAGTCCTTGGCCAGGGAGAGACAGGGTGAAAGCGCAAGACGGGTTTGGTAACAACAGGAAGGACATGCAGGGCAGTAAGACCAGGTCTGGCTGTTGCAATCTGTGCTTTAGAAAACAGCTTTGGAACAGCGATGGCTCTGTCCAAGGCGTGTTTTCTGGCATTTGTGAGGAAGACTTAAAACATGTTAAGAAATGGGATCCTTGCTTGATTGCAGAGGTCTCAGTGGACTTCCAGAGCCTGCAAAAGAGAAAAATAGGACAGCACTTCTGAGAATCTTGGCCAAATGACTGTCATGTGGCTTTCTACCATTCCTCTGTTGCTTTCTGGAAGTCTAGTAGAAATGAAGAAATAGTTTTTCTGTAACCTTTTCTCAACAACAAACAGATAAACATGGAGGGCTTGCTTTAGAACTGAGACTGTGCATTTGCATTAAGTTGGGGAGGCTGTTGGGCTCCATGGAGACTGTGCAGGAGAGATGGGAGGGGGAGGCTCCTAGGGCACCTTAGGTCCACCCCCACCCAGCCTTCCTGGCCTGTGAGGACAGACACTGAGGCCATTTCCCCCAGAGAAGCACAGGCTCAAGAGTTGCCTGTAAGTTGGCAAATCTCTCATTCCCCAGCAAGGCAGTGACTCCAGCCAGCATCTTCTCAGACCACCCCTCCCCCCAGGATCTTCACCCCAGGCTGCTATCCCTTGCTTCTTCCTTCTGGCAGGTTTGCTTTTAGGCAGGAAGGACTGAAGGACTTTAGTTTGATGCTCTGGCATGCAGCCCCAGACTGCAGTGTGCTGCCTGCCTGCTGCGTGGGCCCCAGTACTGGTTACTGGGCAGGCCTGTCCTTGGGAGACCTGCTCAGTGCTGCAGAACCCCGAGAGCTGGGGCGTGGGCTTGTTCACGCCAGTCTCCTTGCGGCCTTCAGAAATGGATTCCTGCCCCTAGTTCCAAACCCACTGGGCTTGGATACCTGCTGACAGAGATTTAGGTGACGGCCTAACGGCCTGCCCTCCCACATTTCCCAGTGTGACCTGTCGCTAGATTTTCCTTTCCTTCCCTCTCAGTGGGACTTTAGGTATGCAGTAGGAAAGACAGTAACTTTGAAATCTACCAGATTGGGGCTCAAATATATGATTTGTCACAAGGTAGCTGTGTAGTATTGGGCACATTATTTAACTTCTCTGAGCTGCAGTTTCTTTATTTATGAAAAGGCAGTAGGTAAGTCCTGGGGTGGTTCTGAGGACTGAGAGAGAGAACATAGGTAGAGGGTCTGCTATTTATTACTATACTCTCAGATTCATCCACTCAATGTTGTTCAAATGCAGGCTCTGATTCAGTCACTTGGTGCTGGGTCTGAAATTCTATCTGTTTAACAAACTGCCAGGTGAGCTGATGCTGCTGGGCCCCAGACTTTGAAGAGCAGGACCTGACATTGACACTGACTTCCTTCTAAGCCCTTGTAGCCTCCAACTCCTGCCTTCTCCGGCGAGAGGCCAGAGACTCCTGGGCTGCCGTTCCCGCCCCTCTGTCCAGCCTGTCAGGGCTATGTCCTAACTCAGGGGACTGACTCAAGGAGGAATTCTTATCTTCACAGAGGAAGAAAGTGGGTGGCGGTGAATTAAAAATGAGAACAACGAACAGGACAGGTGTAGTCATAGGTATTCAGCAGGAGCAGGTGTGTGAGTGCCGTTGCATCTACTTGGGATGCCTTGAGAACGTTAATGGTTTTTGAAATTTATGATGAATGAACCCTAGAGAACTGGGATGTAGGAACATTTGGAAGGAGGGCAAGATTCTGTCCCTGAGCTGATATAAAGTATGGCAAATTGCAGAACATAACGAGGATGGGTATGTGTGTTTTTGATCTCACTGGTTTTCATTCCTGAAAATGCACCTTTTCTTCTCCTTAAACATTTTCCCCCCCTCACTGAATGCTTTTGTGTGAAACCTTTAGCTGCGTGTTTCTGCTTGATGCAAATGTCCACATGCCCCTCCTTCTCACGCCCAGCTCCAATGCCACTTCCTTCTTGCAGGCTTAGGTAACGTGCTGACTGAGGGTAACGGGGTTCTCCAAGCCGTCCAGCCGGTGCAGAGCAGGCCTGTGACAGGAGCCACAGTGGCACTTGTTTCACCCATCAGCTCACTGCTGCTCTGGTGCTGCTGGGCCCTCCTTGCGGCTGGAGGGTTGGGCACCAGGGGAGCCCCTCAGTGTTTGCAAATGGCTGTGGCAAGGATGGAGGTACCGCTGCAGCTACGGAAACAGCCTCCACAGCTGCTCTGGCTGGCCAGGTGCTTCTCTCTTCCAAGGAGGCCCCGTGGATGAAGAGCCTGTGAGGTTCTCCGTTAGTTCCACACCCTCGGGCTCTGGGTGGGTGAGGGGATGGGGAATTACCACCCTCCCTTCCCCCACGCCGGGTCATACCCTGCATTAGGACAGCGAGAGAGCTTTCAGTTGACCTGGGTGTGTTTCAGTTCCTCTTCCCGTCTCAGGAAGCCGGCAGGGGTCTCAGAGGAGCTGGCCCGGGAGAGCTGATCTTCAGTGATGCTGTTCTGCTGTGAGAGGGACCATGCAAAGGGACTTGCGTTGGTGTCCAGATGGGCAGTCCTTTGCCCGTCCCATGAAGCGTCTCCATTTCTCTTGCAAATAGAGAAGATCCCTGTCCTTTGCAGGTGCTCCTCGCGTAGGCCTGCCTGCTGGGAGCTCCCTGCCCTCTCCACGGCCTACAGCATGTCCACCTCCCGACTCCTCTCAACACACGCGTCACCGCCGCTCCGCAGTCCAGTCCTTTCCACGCGTGTTATCTCCAGGACCGGGACGGCTTGGCTTTGGCAGCGGATTCGTGCCTGGTCTAGTTTTAGATCACTCACCGTAACCTACCAAGTGGTGACTAGAAAATAAGTGCATTCCGACTGGGATTCGAACCCGCCGCCTTTCGGTGTACAGGATGAAGCCCCAACCAACGGAGCCACACTGGCCAGGGCCCAGATCAGTCTCATTCAGCCAGTCTCATTGAGATCTGAAATTGATATTCTCGTTCCAGCTACCAGAGACTCTTGACTCTTTTTGTGCAGTAGAGCCTAGGAAATGTATCACCAGGCCGTTTGTAAAGTCGAAAGCCGGGTGGGTCCCTACCTAGAAATACAGGATTTTCCTCAAACACTAAGTCTAGAGAAGCAAGCTGGGATGCCAAATGCTTGCTTCAAAATTCCTTAAACATTATCCTTGATATTTCTTATTTTTCTCGTTTTGGAAACAATCCTCTGCAGAGCCCGAAGAATTCCTCCTGACCCTGGCTCGGACTCAGGCCACTGGCTGGAGAGGGTTGGCATAGCCGTCCTGCCTGGGTCTGGGCGTGGTTCTGTCTCCGCTCATCAATAGTGGGGGGGCGGAAATGTGGAGTTTAGAGCAGTTAACAAAAAATCAATGACTCTGGCAGGAAAAGAAAAGTGTCGGGAGGGAGGACAATATGGATCATAAATGCAAGCATCTCTGTAATTCACTGCCTCCGCCCTCCCGGCCCCAGGCTGGCTCCCACACAGGCTCATCACCAAGCTCCGGTTTAAATTGGCCTTAACTGGTCAGCCCCCAGCTCCAGCCAGACTGTAAATCATGGGGCTGGGGGGCAGCAGCTGGAACTTAATGGGATTACCCTGCGCTGTGACCCTGCTGAGCAGACTGACTGGGGACCAGTGTCTGGATCCAGTGCCGGGGACACTAGAATCGTCCCGTGCTCTTGTCAGCTGCAAAGGTTTCAGAGCACACAGCTTTTGTGTTGCTTGGTGACTCCCGGAGTTCCTAGTTCAGGGCACTTGGCGACCTTCTGGAGGGGAGAGCGGCCTCTCCGTGGCCGTCTGCCCCTCCCCCTCCCCCTCCCGTCAAACTGCTTCCTGAGTGGAATTTAGGCCGCAGATTCGGTTGGTGGCTCTGTTTGCTTACGTGTGACCTTTCTCTTGCAGGGCTTCCTTTCCGAGCTCTTCCCGCAGAGCATCTCAAGACTCATTTTAAACAAATGTCTGGTCATCTCTTTCTGGCCCAAGTAAGTGACTCTGGAGAGAGCCACCTCTCAGATATGGGGACTCAAGTGGGAGGTATTGGGGTGGACGCACGTGTGAGCGTGCATTGTTTACCTTTTTGGTTTCCAAAACACTTAACGTGTCTCCCACACACAGAAAGGAAAATACTTTTTTTTTTTTTTTTGCCTTTCTGAAGTTGCCAGCTACTCTTGGCCAAGCAGCCCATTTAATTAAGTTTAAAGGCATCTTTGTCGTGTAAGGAATGGAGAAAAAGAGGCAATTGGCTGGCCGTATCTAAAGAGACCAGATACTTCCTGCGCCCAGAGCTGTCCGGGCAGTCGTAGCTGGGGGCACGTTGATTTTTATTTCTTATGCTGGAGTTTTTCCATAGGCTGTTTTACAATCGGAGGAGACTAGGTTCCGTGGTCATGTTACCATGAGATCCCTCTTGGGGTATCAGCCATTTGTAGGCCAGGACAGACCAGCACCTACTGTGTACACATGCTTGGTACTGATGAATGACACGCTCCTGATGCCTGAGCAGCTCCCTGAGCAGTGAGGGAGAAGTTATGTAAGCTGTGGATTGCCCTGTAATGTGATAAGTGCAGGGGTGTGTCTGTCTGTAACATGAATGTTTCCGGGCCCTGCCAGCCTGAGGGTACAGATGAGGTCAAACTCACTGACAGGACTTGAATTTCACTGGTCTGTGCCCCTCTCCCAGAATGAAGACCACCCCCCCCCCCGCCAATTTCAGTGAGTCCCTGAGGTCTCGCTCATGTTCTTTGGCTTGGACCCCTGTGATGTCCCTTATTTGCCCCCAGATCTGCTTCTGGACCTTGTCTTCCTACTACCTGTGTTCTGCCCGCTGATGCGCCCCGGGTTCCAGCCAACGGGTGCCACACTCCTCGGGGACTTTCCTGAGCCACGCGTCCTGTGTTCTGGGCTCCAGAAGAGAGAACACTACTCTCTATTTTGGGCCACATTTTGTCGCCCGGGCACAAAGCAACGTGGCTTGCGCTTCTGTGTCTCAAACCGTCTTTTTGAGATAACAGCTGCTTTGGCTTCTGTCTGTGGCGTCTCCTTCCACAGAACTTGGGCCTAAGTCAATGGGGCCGGGGCAAAGGGCCCAAATCCCTGACAAACACAGTGCTCACCTCCCTGCTGACAGAGCCCCACTGCATCCACTGCACAGATCTCTTCCTCCCACCCCCTTCTCCACCGCGTATCAACCCCCTCTTAAATAGACGGGCGTCGGTTCTCAGACATGCCCAGGCTGAATTCCTCCTAAGTGTGTCCTCCTCCTATTCTCACTGTTTCACTGTGGGCCCTCATTACCTCCCCCGGGCCGCTGCCATGGTTACTTAATTGGCGTCCCCGCCTCTGGTCTCTGCTCCCTTCCATCCTGTACCCAAAGTTGCTTCAGTAGATGACGGTCCTTGGATGAGGGTCCAGTCAGAATCTGCCTTCCACATAATTCCTCTTGTTAGTTACAGCCAGGTCTCAGGACATCATTAAAATCACATTGCTAGTTCTTGGTCTATTAAGTATTTTTACATATACGGTTTTTACTTTACCCACTTTCAAGCAGAATTTGAAATAGTTTCCATGAATCCTTCCAGTGATTCCCAAACCATTTGTATCAAGGGGACATGGCCATTTAGAATCAACATCTTTATTTGTTTCACCTGGATATCTGTGACATTTGAAAGGATTAGAATTCTTATGGAGAAATCGATCCTCACCAAATTTCAAAAAGAAAGATTGGATTTAGGCCAACCATAACTTTATTCACCGTGGGCTTAACAGTCTGTATTTGAAATGGATTTCTAGAGAACGCTATCCCGTCCTGGCGTATCATGTTTGTGTGTCGATGGAAACCGCAGGACAAACAGAAAGCGCGGTGCAGGGAGGCCGGGTCATCACTGGGCAGCACCGAATGAACCGTGGTGCAAGCAACAGGAAACCGAGGCTTCTCGAAGAGTTGGCTTTTAGCATCGACCAGTACAAGAAACTCTGACGACAAAAGCATTTAAAATATGTTTTGCTAAGACCAGAAAGAGTCATAAGTACTTCTTATGTGTTAAATTAACATTTGGGAAAATGTTATCATACCGCATGCAATTTAGTTTTTTTCTGATTGTTTTCATTTGGAAGGGAAAAATCAACTTCTTGAAACTCTAAAAATATGTTCCACCAAACATGGGGACTCAGGTGGCAGATTTTGGAGGCCTAGATCTAGGGGGAACTTTGCAGGCAGAACTGGAAAATATTTCCACTGAGTCAGTCACCCCCAAACCAAGAGGACACGGATGTAGAGGAGGAGGAAGTTTCCCTGGACCCTGTTTGAGCCTCTGGTTGGGTCTGAAAATTAAAATGATGAAGAGAAATTAAGAGAAAAAAAAGCATGTACATTTATTTATGTAAGTTTTATAAATTTATGGTACAGGAGGCTCCGTGAGGAAATGAAGACCCGAAGAAACAGACCCGAGTGTTGTTATGTGACGTCGGGCAGAGTGCACAGTAGTGGAGGGTGGGACAGGCGCAGGAGCATGAGGTGAGGGTGGGAAACTGGGGGAGACTTAGCAAGGCCTGTGCGCTCACATTCTTCTCAGAGTCCCTCTGTCTTGGGGACGAGGATGCTCCTTTCCTCCGGGTGTGGGGGGGCACCTCTCACAGGAGGGTGGCCTGTTTCAGGGGAAAAAGGCTGTGGGAAGGTCACAGTGACCTTCTTGCTACTGTCATTTTCTCACAATTCTTCAACTTTAAATATTCAATATGGCCCTGGCTGGTTTGCTCAGTGGTTAGAGCGTTGGCCCACGGACCAGTGAGTCTTGGGTTTGATTCCGGTCAAGGACACGTACCTTGGTTGTGGTTCATCCCGGGCCCTGGTTGGGGTCATGTAGGAGGCAACCAGTTGATGTGTCTCTCTCACATCGACGTTTCTCTCTCTCCCACTCTATCCAAACAAAAATGGAAAAATATCCTTGGGTGAAGATTAAAAATAAATAAATAAATAGAAATAAATATTCAGTATGCCCAGGGGCCGCATTTTGGGGTGGCATGTCCTGAACGGCGCCACTGAGGGTGTTGTTCAGAGAGAGAGAAGCCGGAATCTGGGTAAAAGAGGCAACCACCTCCACCCCCTTGTCAAACAGAAACAATGTCATCATTTGATTCTCACAGTACTGAGTTGGAAGGTGAAGTTTGACTGTAGAAACAGATCCAAGCAGGCTGGATCGGACAAGGAAATCTGCACCAGGGAAGGGAAATGGCCCTTATGTGGAAGGATGGGCAGGATTCGGCAGCCAGGGGCAAGCGCATTCCCAGTGGGAACAAGCGGGGTGGGAGTGGGAAAGAGAATGATGGGCCCGAGACAGCGCGGTCAGGGCTCCTGGAGAAGGTGCGTGCTGGCTGTGTTGGAAATAGGAGCCTAGGCGGAGTGTGGCTTTATTACAGAGGGCGGTGCAAGCCAGGAGAAGCAGCGCAGATGAACCCTGCCGGAAGCTGGAGGCCATGGAAACGATAATGAAACAGACTTGGGGAGGGAAAGTCTGGGTTTAGGGGTATGATAATTTGAGACAGGAAGGTTACGCCAGGTGAATGTGGTCCTACCGGGAGGGACTCTGTGCGAAGGGTAATTTACAGAGAAGTGCTGAGACTTGGAGACTGGTTGTTACGGGGAGGGAAAGAAAGTGACTGTGAAGACGTTACCAGGATTTGGGCCAGTGGAGACCACGGTGTTAAAGCAGGGATGAGGAGGTGGTCTGGAGGCAGGATTGCAAATTTGTTTAGTTACTTCGGAAAATGATGAGAAATCCAAATGGAACTCAACACGGGCTGCTGCTAAACCCCAGAGGCAGAGAGCTGCTCAGAGGTGATGACCGAACCCGGGCTCACGGAAATACGTTCTCTGAAAGAACACGTAAAGAAAGAAGAGCAGCCCTGGCCTGTTTGGCTCAGCAGTTAGAGTGTCGGCCTGCGGTACAGAGAGACCCGGGTTCGGTTCCTGCTAAGGGCACGTACCTCGGTTGCAGTTTGTCCCTGGCCCTGGTTGGTCGTGTGGGTGGCAGCCACTCGATGTGTCCCTTCACGTCGATGTTTCTCTCTCTCTCTTCCTCTCTCTCCCTCCCACTCTACCTGAACAAAAAATGGAAAAATGTCCTCGGGTGAGGATAAAAAAAAAAAAGAAAGAAGAGCAGAAGTCTGAGGTGGGGCCTGGGATGGGACGCTGAAGAGGAAACTATGAAGGAAATAAATTGCTCCAGCCAATGGCTCCTCCGTCCCGTCAGATGCCTTGCAACCTGCTGCTCAGGGCGTCCGTCCCGACAGGACAGTGGCAGTTCCAGTGGGCAGCCGAGAGCAGACCAGAAGCCAGAGGGATGAGGGCGATTTGCTGCATCATTGACCTGCCCACTTTGGTGCTCAGTTTAGGGCACAATTTTTAAGCATGATACCCTCTGTCAAGCTTGACATCCATGTTATCAATTGCTTAAGCTGATGCTTGAAAAAGGGCCCTGTAATTAGGGTTGCCAGAATTAGCAAATAAAAATAGAGGACACCCAGTTACATTTGAATTTCAGATAAACAATGGGAAAATTGTTGGTATAATATGTCCCAGATACTGTATAGTATATGCTCAGATGAAAATTGTTATTGTTTATCTGAAATTCAAATTTAACTAGGTATTCTGTGTTTTATCTGGCAGTTCTATCCTCTGACGAATCTTCTGTCTTCATCACTACGGGGGCCATGACCATTCTTTTTCTTAGCTGGGAGGCCCCTTTCCCAAATTTGCTCTCTTTTTTCCTTCCCTCGGTGCAATTCAGAATCAACAAGCAATTGCTGCACGCGCAGCCTGCTCCTGACCGGCCACCAGGCACTTTCACACCAAACACCAGTGGTTTGCAAGCTCTTCAGGTGTACGGCACTTGCAAAGCAGACGTTTTTGGCAGAATACCCTAAATTTGAAATAATTTCATCAGCCACCTAGACAGTGACATTTGCAGGTGTACAATAAAGCATTGCAATAGAAAAACACGCGCATCCAAAGTAGAACCATCATGTTGGTAAGTCTTTCCGCTGGCAGTTGTGTGGGACAATTGATTGAGATCATTTTTATTCTCCCTGTTGGATTTTCACTTCCTCCATCCTGAGAAACCAAACCTTCGTGTCACGAGCCCAAGCACTCTTTGTTGATATCCAGATGATAGTCCTACCTAATGCCTTGTTTGAAAGGCCCCTTGAGTAGGACTGAACTGGGAGTCTGGAGGAGGAAGAGGAGAGGCACGAAGAAAATGTATGTGGTGGAGGAGCTGAACTGGCTTGGTGGGTGGGGAGTGGGAGATTCCATAACACTAACAAAAGAGGCTGGTATGAGGGTTCGCAAGCATGGAAGGTCCCAGCGCCTCTTGTGCCAAGTGCCTCCTAAGGATTGTGGCCAATTGCCTTGAGCAGCATTTGGAGTTTGATGGGTGGGTCTGTGAGCACAATGACTATAAAGGGGCAGGTCCGAATCCTTTCAGAGTAGAATGTCTAGACCTTGCCAGGTATCCAGTGACAAAGACTCTCTTAAATATATATATTTAAATTGATTTTTTTAGAGAGAGAGGAAGGGAGAGAGAGAGAGAGAGACATCGATAGGCTGCCTCCTCCATGCCCCCTACTGGGGACTTGAGCCTACAACCCGGGCATGTGCCCTGACCGGGAATCCAACTGGGACCTCTCAGTCCACGGGACGATGCTCAATCCACTAAGTCACAGCGGCCGGGCAAGGCTCTTTTCTTGACTAAACATTAGTCGGACTCCTGAAGCCAACTAGACTTTGACCTTGGTCTTTAGTGCCTGTCCTTGTTGGGCCTGCATGAGCCAGTTTCAACAAGAATCCTGTTAAGTCAGTTTAGAGAAAACTACCACCTTCAGTATCTAATCATCCTCGGTATCTGATCAAATTCCTCATTCCTGCCCTTGGTATCTGCGCATCCTGGCCTGTCTTCAGCAAGAATCCCGTCCAGTCGGTTTGGCCAGAATGCCCCCTAACCCTTCACGTCTCAGTGATTTTCCATCCACTGACCCCGCGCCCTGCTCCTTGGCTGTAAATCCTTGTCTTCAGAACTGAGCTCCATCTTGCTGCAAAACGCCACTGCAGCCACCTCTTGAATCAAGCCTTCCTTGTCATCCCCGACAATGTCAGATAACTTCTCGTTAGCACCAGGACTCCACTGCAGTGGGAGGACGGAGCGAGGGCCGTGAGGGTCTGCACAGCTCGGGGTCCTTCCCGCCTCCCTGCTCCGGGTCTTGCCTCTGTGTGGCCCTCAGGTGGGGAGAAGACCCAGGATCACTAGGCTGCTCTTTCCACCAGCCGAGCAGGTGGACCCTGGAAACACAGTCATTTTGCTTCAGAAGAGTAAAAAAGTGTGCTATTCCTGATTGTTAGTGTTACAGATTCACGTTTCTTCACAGTTTCTCGTCTTGTTCTTTCTTTTAATCTGGAGAAAAATCTCAAGTTGAGAAAATTCTGTTCATGAATGTAATCCCACCCTTCCCCTCCTCCCAGCTCCTCGTTGTGAAAATGTCACCATTTAAACAATTTTTTTTTAGCAGTTGCACACCTCAGTTCGGTGTCATAGGAATGCAGTTAGAAAAACGGTGTTGTCTGACCACGTAAGGCTGTGCACAGGACGCTGACATTTAAAAACCCAATGTCCAGCGTAACACAATGACATTATTTATAGACCCACAAAGATCTTGGACAAATGTGATGCATAAGGAGAAATAAAAAGAAGGAAGGAGCAAACCATAGAAATCTGAGGCTGAATTGAGAAGGAAACCCCCACAGCAAAATCCGAGACACACTGCGCTTTTGTCGGGCTCCTGTGATTAGCAGGAAGCTGAGATGACTCACTGCATCCTGTCACCCCTGCCCCGTGTCCCGTTTATCCCCTCCGAGGGTTTTAAAGTCCTGATTTGTGTAGAAAAATTACACAACTCGTCAAAGAATGACTGTGCTCTGTTTTTCATATCCGCATTTTTAAAGAGGCACAAAATGGTTGTACTTCTCAATATGTAAAGCTGCTGAAGTCTCCCAAGAATGACTTCGGCCCG